ACAGGGAAGCCAGATTCACTTAACTGTGTTACTAACTTAACAATTGTAATGATTCACTTAACAACTGTGGCAAGAAAGGTCATGAAAAGGGGCAAAACTCACTAAATTCTCACTCAGCAGCAAAAAATTTGGGCTCAACGTAGCCATATGTTGAGGACTACCAGTAAGGGCATATCAAATGTTAACTGTATCACTTGACTGCTTAATGCTTGAAGACCTCGTAAGATATGTTCCTGCTCTGAAACCAGTAAAGCAAGACTCTCATGGCAAGAGATATCGTATTATTACAGGTTGTCCTCATTTAATGACCAGCCACCTAACAACTGTTCAAAGTTACAACAGACTTCAAAAAAAGCTACTTATGACCCATCCTCATAGTTATGACTGCCACACCACATCCTCATGGTCACGTGATTGCATTTAAGGTGTTTGGCCACCAGCTTGTATTTATGACTGGTTGCAGCGTTCCATGTAAATGTGAAGTCCACGAGTCATAAAAGAGCCAAGGTTGCCTACCCCTGGTCTAGGCAGTCACTTGGAGTCAACACAGACTCAAAGGCTAAAAAAAAAAGCCTAGGTTTATTAGATATAGGCTACAAAAATCTTGCTAACCTTTAACTTTTTGCTGCCAACTGGTTGCAATCTGAAGTTTTGCAGCCCACACCTGGAAATTTGTCATAATGCTGAAACAAATCTTTTGTCTGTTGATTGTATCCATGTACAGATTTTTTTTTCTGAACGTGCTTGCTAAGCAGTTACCCTTTTGAACATGCTGCAGTTTGAATACAGAATTTGCTTTCATGCATTTGCTTTCCAGAGATCACTTATTCAGCTCTAAATACAGTGGAAAATTCCACAGCTTGTTCTAAGAAAATGGCTGCAGAGAAGAGGTCATTAGCTTCTCTGTGTATGAGGGAGAAGTAGAAAGGGAAAGAGAGAGAAAGAGAAAAAAGTTGGAGAAGAAAGAAAGCCAATGAAATTTGTCTGGCAGGAAATGAATTCTGATCAATATAAGCCAAAAGAGAATTAAACACTAAAGGCCAAAAAAAATCCAGTTGTTTTTGCTAGTACAAACTACTTTGAAAGCCTAGCCAATCAGGAACCTAAGGAGTCTTTCTGTATTGCACAAGCCAACACAAGCCTAAAGCAATAGTGAAATACAAGGTTAATTCTGTACTGTCTGACTCTCCAAACTTAGTCATACTTGGAGAAGAACTCGTGATTTCAATAGCTTAATTTTAAATACATTTGGCACCTAAATCTACATTTTTTGATGGTTTTTCTTAGCTCCTCTCATTGGAGCATTGCTGGAATAAGTGCATTGCCATTGATGGAATAGAATCTCTACCCTATTGATTCCATATGTGTGTGTGTATATATATATATAATATATATAATATTGTTTGTCTTTTGTTTTTGTTTTTCACAGAATAAGATTTATGGTAAAGACGTTTGACAGATATTTTAAACTGAGTTAAATATAGCTCTGTATGTTTTTTAAAATCTTACATTTGTAACTATTATCATTGTATTCTGTGCTTATTTATTGTTGAAATGCTTGGTACAGAAGATTGAGAGTACGTAATCTAATCATCTCGAAATGATTGGACTACAGCTTTCATTATTGGGTAGAGGACAAGTTATATAATCTAACAATACCAAAGCAATGATTAAAGTTGATGTGTAGTAATATCTCCCTGGATATCTCTGGTGGTAGAGACGATTCCGGATCTCCTTACCTTCCGTCACGCCCTCAAGACATGGCTTTTTCAGCAAGCGGACCTGGCCTAGGGAGGATTTTATACTGGGTTCATTTTAAGGAATTTGAAATAACACAACTTTAAAATTTGGTTTAATTCGGTTTTACAGGGGGGGATTGTATATATGCCTTTGTTTTAAATATGTTGTGCGCCGCCCTGAGTCCCGCCAGGAGAAGGGCGGCATATAAATTAAATTAAATAAAATAAAATAAATAAATAAATAAATTATTTGCAGTTATGTCAGCACACAGACAGTCTTGCTGCACAAATGATCAAGGAGGGCTTGCTCAGTTAGCCTATCAACATTGCACAATGAGACCAGCTGATAAGGCCCTACAACTTATATATTGGATGAATGTGTTCCACGTTACACCTACTTTGGTTCTGTAATGCCTGACCCAAGCATTTGTGACCATAGCAGACTGAACAGACTGCTTTTAAATGGGATAAAAGACAATGTGGGTCTGTTATGCTTTTTGAAAGTGAAAAAGATAGGAGGGTTGTGGCATTAACTCACTGTCCCTCAAGATCCTCACACTCAGCATGAATATAACTATTTAGAAGTCTCTGATCATTCAATTGAGTCTGGAATCTTGCATACTTAAAAAAGCATAGCCCTAGTGCTTCTACCCAGGAGATTTTTTTTATGTGGAAAATGTATGAAGGTGCTATCGTAAATTTGAACTGATCATTCTCTGGAACAGATATCATCCAGATGTACCTGGAGTTGAATGTTTCAGATCAAATTCTTATTAGGAGTAAAAATGACATAATTTAATTAGTTTAATTTTTTATTAAATGTATAAAAGGCATGAAGAAGATTGTGCTACATATTTCATAACAATGTGTAACAAGTTTGTGGACGCCTATAATAGATAATAAAAAATGTACAGTCTGACATGCTGTACCCCATTAGGATGATTGCAGAGAAGAAGGAATCAAGTAGTAACAAACTTTCTATGCTGAACAAGCACTGTGGAAATGACTAACAATGTCTAATATGTTCATCATAGATGTTCCCATATGATGTGAAATGACCCTGAAGGAGTAGTTCTTTAGAAATACTGCTCCTTCCCATAGTTATGATCCCATGATTCAGAAGTATACATTTCTTGGTCCAAAGCTGGTGTTGAATAAATGCATATTCATTTTAAAGGGCTTTGGGTAGGACTTAATTTTAAACAAGGTAGCACAAAAGCAGACATAGAGGGAAAAAAATTGATCCCTAGGTCTAGGAGAAAAAGAGCCATATTTGTGTCCAATGTCTATTATGTGATATAACTCTAAAGCAAGTTGTTTCAGGAAGTCAGACTATGCAGTCTGTTTTAGATGAACAGGTAGATTAAACATAATCAAGTGTACACTGATTTTGAAGTCAGTTGAACTTTAAGCACCTATAACTTTGTAGCTCTCATAATTTTCTCAATCACCCTCCTTCAGCTAAGAGTCTGCCCTCTAGAAAATTATGACATGAATTCACTGTCAGCTTAAATATACTCAAGCTTAATTCTAATAGCCTTCTGAATGGAGGAACTGTTATTCAGTAACCCTATTACCCCAAATCAAATTTCCCTTCAAAGTCCTCTGCCGAAGTTTACACTTATCTTGTATTGTTATTAGCAATAACAATAGCACTTAGACATATATCGCTTCATAGTGTTTTACAGCACTCTCTAAGCAGTTTACAGAGTTAGCATATTGCCCCCAACAATGTCAGAACTCGGAAGGATAGAAGGCTGAGTCAACCTTGAGCCACTCAGAATTGAACTTCTGGAGTGAGCAGTGGATTAGCCTGCAGTACTAACCACTGTGCACCACAACTCTTGTGCAGATGACTGCACTTCTTCCAGTCCAAGTACAAACTGAGCATCTGCCAGAACATCTGCCCTGGGAAGCCCTGTAAGCTGTTGCGGCTGCAGGCAAGCAGACAGTGGGAAGGCTGGCAGCCGCAAAGTCAGACATCCCCCCCAAAATAAGCCCTAATGGGTTTTTTGGTCCAAAAATATATAAGACCCGGTCTTATTTTGGGGAAAACATGATATGTATGTGTGTATGTATGTATGTACACATGTATGTAATTGTGGTTGAGCTACCATGAACATCTCACTCTGCCAGTGATGACTGGCATATTTGTGGATTATATTCTATGTTGAATGTCTTTGGGTGAGCTTTGGAGGGGGAGGGATGATGAAGCATCCAAATGACAACTAATGGTATCCATAGACACATTTCTCTTAGTTGGACTGATTTTTGCCAGCTGCAATGATTATCCAGTTATGGTGGAAAATGTGGGGGGAGCAGAGGCATAGAATGCCCTCCCCTCTGTAGAGAATACAAATTCTTTTGCAATGTAGTCTCTGCATACATGTTCAGAAGAAAATCCCCTTATAGCAGTAGAGTTTATTTCCAAATAAGCAGAGTTTCCAATGTGGTACTAAAAACTGGTAGCAGTCAAGAGATTCTACTTCTATTCCAACTTTTCTTCCTTAACGGATTTTCTCCAGAAAGGGAAATATTGAAAGAAGGGGAGGAGAAAGATGAGATGATCAAAACGAAAGAATGCACTGACTGCCTTGGACCACTGTTAAGGATAATTGCACATTGGAAATACTCTAAAGCTTTAGCTGGCAGGTTCTATAACAATGTCAGCAAATTGAAAGGTTTCCCCAGATGCTTTCCCAGGGAACTGTAAATGGCATGCTCCCTTTACACACCCAGAAACACACATGGCATTATTCTAATTAAGATATTCTCTGTATCAAGCGCACAGATGCTCATTTTCAGTTTGCTCAGTTCTATAACGATTCGGTCTGTTTGGAAAGTTTATTAGATACAGTGCTTGTAGCTCTTTTGCCTTTTGTCAAGTAGAAACCAAGAAGCACCTAACTGATCTGAAAAACAGCCCATATTTTGTGCTCTACTCAAAATTGCTAATCTGACCATAGGAGACTATTAGAACTTGGGCACCCCAAAGATCTGGAAAGATTTTAGTACCATCTAGTCACTTCTCTAGAGTTTTCTTCTACCCCAAGGTAGAACTTATCCAGATCCAGAGCAGTTAGCTTATACAGTACTAACAGTGGAAAAGTTCAGAAGTTTAGCCTGGTGTATAAACTGCAAATGTGCCACAGCTATGCTGTAAATAACATCAATTGAAGAGAAAGATCCACATTAGGAGTTAATTTGTCCTCCTTTGATAAAAGTTCTTAGTAAAACCAACTCTTTACAGAAAACACTTACCCAAAACTCCACAGATGATCCAAAGATAATGTCCTCCTTCTGTATGTTATGCCAGAAATGTCCAAAAGAAATTCCTGAAATTCTTTAAAACTACTGATGTGTTCAGAGCTCGGACATTTAGTATTTTCATTTACAAACTCCTTACTGAGCTTTTCATTAAATACACTCTGCTTTCTTTTTTTGGCCTCCCCCTAGGTGATGTCATATCCTGATTGTGTCTAGAGGGCTACAGCTGTCCTTGCTGCAACACATCAGTTCTTTCACCCTCCCCCAGCTACGCCTCTTACACTCTTGTGCAGAACCCCCAGCACTTGGAAAGATCCCTGGGAAGTGCTTTCTCCGTCTCCCTCTCTCTGCCTTACACACACACACAAACCCAACATTCACAACACCCAGTCTCAGCTTTTGTTTCATTTTGTTTTTCTTGGCTCCAGATTAAAAGGAAGTTTAAGGCCACATTATTGTGAAGATCAGCAAGGAAACTGAAATTCTACTGCACCACATCACTTCCCACTCTTCGTAACTCACAGATAAAGAGATAGTTTTTCAGTGGAGAAGTGCCAGGAGGAGGTTTTTTCTACTAAACACACAAAACCAGATAAGAAAGCTCATTTTTTTCCCCTCCTTTTTTTCTGCAATGTTGGGAAAGAAGAAGTTTGGCTAAAGAGCACAAGAACAGGTAGGAAATGAATGTAGGAGAATAGGAGAAAACTACAATAAGTGACCAATCATTGCCAAGTCTTTATTTTGCAGGCTAAAGATCTTTGTGCACTCCTTGCTCAATTGGCTGATTTCAAACACACAAACTACGTACACATGGGCAGGATGGGGCAGGGCAGATCAGCTGATAAAAGACACTAGTGCAGTGGTTCTCAACCTTTTTAATGCCGCGACCCCAACCGGTCGTAAGTCGAGGACTAAACCGGTCGTAAGTCGAGGACTAAACCAGTCATAAGTCGAGGACTAAACCGGTCGTAAGTCGAGGACTAAACCGGTCGTAAGTCGAGGACTACCCAACCGGTCGTAAGTCGAGGACTTTCCCTGCCCGGGAGCGCCGTGCATGCGTGGTTCCGCTCCCTGCGCCGGCCGAGGCGTAGCTGGCAAGCAGCAGAGATGGAGCAGGCCGACCACCAGCTGGCCCAGCCCAAGGGAGGTAAGGCACCCGCCGGAAAAGGGGAAAAAATGGCGGACAAAAAAAATGGCAGACAAAAAAATGGCAGACAGCCTTGCTTGGCGACCCCCGTGAAATAGTCGATCGACCCCAAATGGGTACCGACCCACAGGTTGAGAACCACTGCACTAGTGGATCATGGTTGTTAAATAGCAGGTTCCCCTATGCTGGAATAATGGCTTGGGAAAGTATCCACTGATGCTAGCTTTGACACCTTTCCTGAGTTCTTTTAAAAATGGAAGATTCTGAGTAATCTAAGCTATTTTAATTCACACTGTGGTCGTAGACCTATCTTCTCAAAAATAAGCATCAATGAATTTAATATGGATTCTATGGAAATTGCTGCTAGGTCTGCCTCCTAAAATTATATAGGTATTTTTTTTCTGGTTCTACATACATGCCTATGTTACTAAGAAATGCCAGAAATTCTCCCAAAGAGAAGTCAGATTTGGGGCATGTGTCAGTATTGTGTACATCAGAGTTCCCCAACCTAGTCCTTATCAGATAAATTGGGCAATTCCTCTCATCTCTAAGTAGCAGGCCATGCTGCCTCTGGATGATGTAAGTTGTCTACTAAATCTGAAGGATACCAGGATGGGTCTACTCTAGAGTCTGAATAATTTAGTAGCCATTTATCCAGATCCTAAGTTAAAATACTGACAAGGAGATCATATATATTGAACGTTCATGTAAAACCTGTTCTGTCACTAAGTTGCAGCCTTCCCACTGTGGGAAACAAAAAAATATTACTCTAAAAAACATATCCTGGCTAAAAAAGGTTCAATGTGTGATTACTACAACATTGTACAGTATAAAGATTTGCATCTGTGAAGGAAGATGGAATTGGCCCTTGTGTGACATACTTTGTATCTTCTTAATATATGTTACATGATGTGATGTGGACATGCAGTGACTATTTCATTCTTCACTCAGCAAAATGCTGAAGGGGAACACCAATGGAGACCTGTATAGAGTAAATAGCATTTAACATTTTGTTCTAAAATATAAAAAAGATGGGTTTTTTTTTAAAAAAAGCTAATATTTTCCTTAGGGCCATATTGCTTTTACTTCCTCTCCTTTCATGTCCCTGCCAGGAGCTAAAGCAAAGGTAGGCAACCTTGGCTCTTTTATGACTCGTGGACTTCAACTCCCAGAATTCCTGAGCCAGGTTGGCTCAGGAATTCTGGGAGTTGAAGTCCACGAGTCATAAAAGAGCCAAGGTTGCCTACCCCTGAGTTAGAGCAAAGGACGGGAGCTCCACCCGTCCCCATGGCTATGCTCAGAACTTGAATGCAGGCTTGTTAACATCCTACCAGCATCCTAACCACGAGAGCCACCATGCTCCTACCTGTTACATCACATTAAACAAGAGTTCTCAAACTATGGGTTAAGACCATCAATAGAGTCAGTTTTTTTGGAGGGGAAGCTTGATCAGCCTTGCACAGGGAGAACGAGAACACTGTCAACCATTGTTCTGGAACTGCTCCTCACTTCTCCTGTTGCAAGGCCCAATAGAAAGTTGCAGTTCTATAAGGTTTGATAACTCTGTAACACAGAGCTTAAACTTTAACTATCAAAAGGAAATGGTGTATTTATTTCTTGCCCATCGATAGCCCCAATAACATAGACTTTGTTCCAGGTGTAATCAGACAAAATATTTATTATTTAGGGATGTTGAATATTGCGATGTTTGAGAACTTCTGCCTGGCATTCTAATACATTTTGGGAGGGCAGTGGGGGAGAGGAGAGAGAGAGAGAGAGAAAACAGGTTAAATGTTTTTTTCCCATGCTAACATTACTTTCCCGAGTTCTAAAGCTGAAGGAAGTAAGGGCGTAGTCTCCCATTATAAAAACAGTTTCTTCAGTGCTTTGTAGCACTGGTTTCCTCTGCTTCAAATAAATTTCAAGGGAAAGCAGATCAGGAAGGAGGATGACATGAGTGATGAAGAAAAACTTAATACAGAGAAGAACAGCATTTGGAATTTCACAATGGCAAAAAACAACAACCCCAACCCAACAGCAGCCTTTGCCAGCAAACTAACCGAACCCACAGAAATGTGAAAGCACCCCGAGGATGAAGCTACTGGCTTTTCTGCAAGAAAATAAACATTTCAGCAACTGGAAAGAAGAATTTGCTTCATTGTTATTCATAAAAGCACTTGTTGATTTTGGCCAAGGGATCGTGGAGGCAACCTAAAAGAGAAGATGTGATCCTTTTTCTCTCCCTGTGATTGACTTCCCTGGAGTGGAACAAGCTCCCCTTCTTCTCATCTCAAAGATGCTTTTTCATGAGGCAACTGGGTTTTCTTGTTTTTCTTTGAAGACATTTCGCTTCTCATCCGAGAAGCTTTTTCAGTGCTGACTGGATGAATGGGGAATGGAAGGATTTATATTCCTTCCAGACAGCTGGTCATTTGCATTCTTTTAGAGAGTCGATGATGCCACCTGGAGGTTTATCTGTGTTGTCAGGGTCACCTGAGTAGTAGTGCAATGGATGTGGAGCCTTCTTGGAACTGTTGAAAGGAATGTGTTGTAGACTGAAGATAGATGATGTCGTATCCCTTCCCCTGTGTTGAGAGAGGGCTTTTCAATTTTGACATAGATGGCCTCTTTGACCCCTCTTTCAAACCAGTGGTCCTCTCTGTCCAAAATGTGGATTTGCCGTTTTCGAAAGAGTGGCCTTTGTCTTTTAAATGCAGATGGACTGCTGAATGTTGTCCTGATGGGTTTGTTCTCCTATGTTGTGTCATGTGTTTATGAAGTGATTGTTTTGTTTCCTCAATGTACAGATCTGCACATGGCTCCCTGCATTGTACTACATATACCATGTTGCTCAGTTTGTGTCTGGGTGTTTTATCCTTGGGGTGGACAAGCTTCTGCTTTAATGTATTCTTGGATTTGAAGTGTGCATGTGTGTTGTGTTGGCTGAAGATCCTCCTGAGCTTTTCTGATATTCCTGCAATGTATGGAATGACAACGTTGCTTTGTTTATTGTTTCTTCTTTGTCTGTTATGAAGGAGCTTCTGCTGGGTCTTTTGGGGGGATTGGCCCACTTGTAATAGCCACAAGTTCTGAGGGCTTCCTTGATGTGTTTTAGTTCTTTTTCTTTCCCATCTTTGCTGTTAGGCAGGCCTTCAGCTCGGTGGTGGTCCCCTTCCTCTTTTTCAAAAAGAAGGCAATTCACCAACTGCAAATTTCTCTTATCTACACCAGGCAAAACGAGATAGAACAAAAACAAGCACACCATTAAAAACAAAACAACCAAAACAGAAGAGACTGTTTCCACAGGACTTTTGAGATAAAATTCCCCTTGTGTTGCAAAAGGCAAAGGCTGATGGCCTCCAACTGCTGATTAGCAGTCCAAGCAATTTAGGAGAAAGAGGAATTAACATCTCATTTTAGGGTCTTTAGGAAATGATTGGCTTCTTGCTTTTGCTAATTTATTGTTTCTCCGTTGACTTGTTCCTTCAATCAAAAAGGTCTCTTTTTGAGTAAGACTTCCTTAATTGATATAAGTTACTGCAGTTCACAAAGAGTACTTACACTACCAAGCATTAATTCTGAATCCCATTCGAATTCGCCAATTAATATTCTCCAGCAGCTTTCCAAAACTTGATTTCTGCCCCACTTAAGCTATCATGAGTTATCATCCAGCAATCGCATATTTCCCGCAGCGTAGGAACTTGGAATGCTAGTGGTGAGGCATATTTGTCAAAGGCAGAACTGATACATAGATTTCTGTTTCTTGGGACTGAGCTGCTTCTTCTCTGAAATCAAAAAAGTCTGCTTCTATCAGATGCTTGGACATGTCCACTGAAAACCTCAACAGTAACACTTCAGTCACTCAATCCTCAATATAGTTGTTGGATTAGCAACAACCTGCATCGAAAGTGTCTTGAGACCTTTTATGCTTGTGTTGAGAATCAACCATATGGTATTTTTAGCCATATGATTTATTCTAATTCCTGTAAATGCAGATGTGCACAGCTTCTTACTAACATAACTTC